CAGCACCTAAGTTAAATATATGAGTGTCACAGCAAAGGGGCTGAATACTTATGACCATGTGATATTTCAGTTTTTCTTTTTTAATAAATCTGCAAAAATGTCAAAAATTCTGTGTTTTTCTGTCAATATGGGGTGCTGTGTGTACATTAATGAGGAAAAAATGAACTTAATTGATTTTAGCATATGGCTGCAATATAACAGAGTGAAAAATTTAAGGGGGTCTGAATACTTTCCGTACCCACTGTATGTTTTCTCCTCAGTTAAGATTTTTTTACATCAGTGAATACATAAAATGCTAAGGTGTGCTACTGAATCCTGTTTTATCTGTTTGTTTGTTTTTTTTTTTTGTTTTTTTTTCAGGCAATGTTTAAGAAGAACAAAAGAAGCAGATGATGCTCTATGTTGGGTGTACAGTCTTTCTTTGTCCACTAGGTGTCTCTAGCTTTCCAACTGCTTCAGCAAGGCTCCTAATTGTAAACCATGCAAAATGCCTTTTGGTAGATGCTTAAATCACATGGAGCATGTACAATAGGATTTTCATGAAGTAAATTGATAAGATAAGTATAAATGCCTTACTGAGTTCCCTTAAGAAATCAATACTCTTCACGAAGATGGAGATGGATGCATACTTGCCTTAAAAACTAAAAAAAACAAAACAACAAAAAAAGCATCCCAGATCAGTGCAGCAGGCTTGAATCTGATTGTAATACTTATTCAGGTTGTTGTGAATGTGCACTACTTTTTGATTTATAGTAGGGAGTGTAAGAATTTTGGTCATCCATAGTTCCAATTTACAGTACCTGTTCTCCTCACACTCTGTTGGACATGGTGGATGTATGAACGGTGTGACTGTTGTTCTGCACACCAGGTTTCAAATCTGTTTCTGCTTCCTGTAAGAGAGAGTTTTTTTTATCATCATGTGCATTAGTATTTTGTTATAGAGTGCAGATGATACAACTGTGGCAATACAGCCTACAGCTATAGTTGCACAGCTACAACAGAACAACCTCACTATGTCAAATTGCCCAAATGGGGTTGGTTTTAATTCATTATCTCTCAGTGAATATTTACATTGATGTCACCGTTTTCCAACAGCATTGTGAGCTAGTCTTCAGTTAACTCATGTCTACAGTATATCCATGCCACATCAGCATACCATGTGTTGCTGCTATTTTATCACTGATGCCAAGAGCTCCATCACAGGAACTACCATATATTGCTGCTACCTGCACCAGCACCGGCCTAGTCACTAACAGTGACATTGGTTGTGGTACTACCTGAAAACCAGTTCACTACCATAAAAAATATCTATCTTGCAGTAACCGCATACTGTGTTTGTTTTAGTCCTCTACCCATTGTGACAAACACAGTGCTCTACTGCCTTGTGGCTGCCAGGTGGACATTCAGGTGATCTATTACACATACTATAATGTACCTCTTGCTTTCTTTGTCTTTTATTCTTCAGCTTGTGCTTGAACTTGACTTGTGTACGGCACTTCTGAAGAGCCGCTTGGTTTCTATGAGAGAGCCAGATAATGTCACTGTTGCACATCTATGTCAAAGAAAATGGGTACTGGGCAGTTGTGTTTTACATTATTGCAAAGGGGTCTGCAAACAGTGATTGTTCCTCCTGTCTTTATATAGTGGACATATTAACCCCTTATTGTCTCTGGGTAAATGTCAAATAGATACAAGGTAGCTCTGGTTTATGAAACAACTTTCTGTCTTACCTGCTGTATTATTTTGCCTATATATTCCACATAATTCATCCAACTTAACTCAGTGGTAAACATGTCGCAGGACAGACAGTGGGGTACACACAATACTATATTGAACTTAGAGTCTTAAAGCAAGAATCACCTTACTTTCTCCTCTGCTCCAGAACTGTCTGTTTCTCTTCTGGCCTCTTCCAATGCAGCTTGTCTTCTCTCTTCTGGCCTCTTCCAATGCTGAGGGTCAAACCCAGGAAGCTCTGGAATTATGCCAGCCTTGATAGTTGAATTTCTTCTGATAATGAAATAAAAACAAACTGGTTTATTTTTATTGCACTCCTGAGCTCTGAGTCCCATTGGAGACAGCCTGGGAGATTTTTATCATATATGGTCTCCTCTGCAGAGAATGTCATTAAATGCCATACCTCAGCACTAAAGTTATCTACTGAAACAGAACACACTCACCTCTTCTGTCCTACTATTAGGTGACCAATAATTAATTCACCGCATTGCACAATATATCTGAACAGATACACTGTATGTCCACCACATAGTTGCTGCCCGGATACAGAACAAAAGCAAGAGCAAACACTGTTTTGATATTTCAGAACCCAGTGAAAATATTTTACATGCAGAGCTCATACTGTACCTGTATCTGGCCTAGACCTTTATTTTAAAGGAACTGTTTGACATTTTGGAAAATAAACTTCATTTTGTGGCAGAGAGTGAGATGGGAAAATCAATACCACTCCCATGTTTGTCCATTAAATATGAAGTTAGAGCCAACAGCTGGTTAGCGTAGCTTAGCATAGCTAGCCTAACATTGTCTGACAGTCATGGTAAGTCTGCCTACCAGAAACTCTGAAACTGTGTCTCCTGGCTGAAGTGTCATATTGTATAAGAAGGGCCAGTCTTCTCCACTAATTCTTGGAAAGAAAATATATAAGCATGTATCCCAAAATGTGTACTATTTCTTTAACAGACGAAGAGGCTTTTCACTGATCTTTTCACTCTCTTATTCTGATGTAACTTTAGTTTACTTACCTTTTGGTAAGAGGAAGAAGATGTGACTTGCCCTGGGCTGTTGAGTCCAGCTCAGTTTTGTCCAGTAGAATCATCTTGTGCTTCAGTTCCTTGAACCTCTGCAGCTCATCCTCATCGCCTGACACATCCTGCTCCTCCATACTGGACCCTGTCAGCTCTGACAGCTGGAGCTTCTCCACCACTGGCAGCTCTACTAATGAGCATCAACATGTCGACATCATACTAGTATGATGTGGGCGCAGCCAATACTGGCAACAATATCGTTGTCTACAGCTCCAGAGAAAGTACATCATGATGACTGGCTTACTATCATGAATTGTTGGTAGAATCCAGAGTTCCTTTCCAACCGCAGCAAAGATTTATCAGCATTTTAAAGCAAATTCACATAACCAAGCAGATAAAACATTCCTTTCTAACATTTATGAGGACTCTAGAAAATGTGATCAGCGCGTTTTGAGTTGATTAAAAAACATTTGTGGCTCAATGTAACTTTTACCCACATCAGAGCTGAAAAAGGTTGATGACAATGTAGCATGGACATAAATGAATTGTGTTTATTCAATTCTGCTGAACATATCTGAGCCAATTAAATGAAAAGAGAATACCCCCTAGAGATCAGAGCTTTGCCTTTGTTAATAACCTTGTAGGCAGGGAGATGAATTGTTTGATTGAAGGGTTTGGCTCTGCTCACTGTGCAGCAGCAGTGTCTCCTGAGGAGGGCTGTCTTGAGCACCTCCAGACAGTGCTTAGTGACAGAGAGCTCCTGTATTGAGCCCACCGGTTATTGATCATTTCATTTGGCTAAAAATATTACAGAGCTGGAACGGGGGATAAAAACAGTCTGCTGAGTAGCACGCACTGTCTCCAAGGTAACAGATGCCACACCAGTGAAGTTGTACCAGGGCAATGAGCTATTTTTGTGGCCAGCCATCCTACCTTTGACAAGAAGAGCAGATGGCTAGGATGCAAGTGTACACTAAACACCTTGCTCCTGTGCTGTTCAGAGTTAAGGTGCCTTTGATTTACCTGGAATGGTCTTCCTTACGCTGGTCGTTTAGCCATAGCATTTCTCAAGTACTGGAGGATGCTCTGGAGCCCCTTGTGCACAGTGTCTTGTGGAGGGAAAATGATGGGGCAGCTCCTTAGGTTCAGGCCTCTGAGGGTAATCACATTTCCTAGGAAAAACAGGCAAACAATGAATCCTTTTAAACTATGTTTACTGCTTACATTCTGCCATTTAGTTAGATCTTATCCAGATTAAATTACAGCGAAGGAAGCTTAGACTGTACATTCCCCGACTTTTACATTAATTTAATGCAAGCAACAGTGCAAAAAACATTTTAACCAATAGTGTATGCCTTTTATATTAGTAATGAACATATACAATCTATATTAATCACTAGTTATTCATTGCATGTAATCTAGATGTAAATTTGTTGAAGACAAGTAAGTAAGACTTACTGAACTGATGAAACAGAAAGTGAGCTTGTTACTTCAAAGAACCGAGACATTGTTCACTGATATAGGTGACTGAATGCAACTCACCCAACTTTGGTGGAAGTTCTGAAACAGGATTCCCTTCTAATAGTAATGTTTTCAGAAACCTACATGAAACACATCACAGGTGATTAGATGATTGCAAGGCTATGTCTTTATTAAGAAAACTTGTGTAGTCCTAAACTGAACATGAGGACATTGTGCAAGATATGCCTTGGTCATAATTATGAGTAAACTCAGAAATGCCTATAATTATTGTGTATCTCATTTGCCACACTTTGGAAAAATGGATATAGTTTTCAGAGCATATGCTAAGAAAGAGAAGAACTCTAAAATAGAAAAATTCTCATCAAAAAATGCTCTAAAATCTGACAAAAACATACTCTACTCCCATGATGGCCTGGGGGTGTGAAACCAATTGGCATATAT